GCTCTAGTGTGTTGCGTTGCGGTGTGTGATTGTGCGGTGTGATAGCGGGGTGAACGGTTGTGTGCTCTAGTGTGTTGCGTTGCGGTGTGTGATTGTGCGGTGTGATAGCGGGGTGAACGGTTGTGTGCTCTAGTGTGTTGTGTTGCGGTGTGTGATTGTGCGGTGTGATAGCGGGGTGAACGGTTGTGTGCTCTAGTGTGTTGCGTTGCGGTGTGTGATTGTGCGGTGTGATAGCGGGGTGAACGGTTGTGTGCTCTAGTGTGTTGCGTTGCGGTGTGTGATTGTGCGGTGTGATAGCGGGGTGAACGGTTGTGTGCTCTAGTGTGTTGCGTTGCGGTGTGTGATTGTGCGGTGTGATAGCGGGGTGAACGGTTGTGTGCTCTAGTGTGTTGTGTTGCGGTGTGTGATTGTGCGGTGTGATAGCGGGGTGAACGGTTGTGTGCTCTAGTGTGTTGCGTTGCGGTGTGTGATTGTGCGGTGTGATAGCGGGGTGAACGGTTGTGTGCTCTAGTGTGTTGCGTTGCGGTGTGTGATTGTGCGGTGTGATAGCGGGGTGAACGGTTGTGTGCTCTAGTGTGTTGCGTTGCGGTGTGTGATTGTGCGGTGTGATAGCGGGGTGAACGGTTGTGTGCTCTAGTGTGTTGTGTTGCGGTGTGTGATTGTGCGGTGTGATAGCGGGGTGAACGGTTGTGTGCTCTAGTGTGTTGCGTTGCGGTGTGTGATTGTGCGGTGTGATAGCGGGGTGAACGGTTGTGTGCTCTAGTGTGTTGCGTTGCGGTGTGTGATTGTGCGGTGTGATAGCGGGGTGAAAAGAAGGGGGATTGGGGGATGGGAGAGCAGGGTTGGAGGGATAGAGGGGTGGAAGGATGGGAGGGCAGGGATAGACTTGGGGGTGTTGCAGGGGTGGGGAATACAAGCTATAGGGGTGTTGGGAGCATGGGCTGTTGTGGTTTTTGCATGGGGTGGAAGGTTACAGGCTGTGGTTTTGGGGTTGTGGCAGGGGCTGGGTTATATATAGACTGTGGAGCGTGTTACAAGAGGTGCTTGAGGTGTAAGGCTGTGGGGGTATTGGGGTTGCAGTGGAAGGTGTTACAGGAGGTGTTGGAGGTATAAGGCTGTAGGGGAGTTGGGGGTTCTTGCAGGGGGTGTCATTCACAGGCTTTGGGACCATGGGTGCTACAGGTCTCTTGCCCCTCAGTTATGGGGGCAGCAGGTAAGTACAGTGGGCTCCCCGGCTCCTGGCGCCAGGGTGGAGGCTGACTGTCCCCGGTGAATGGGACCGACAGACTGTTCAGGTGCTACTAGCTCAGACCCCACCCCAGGATACCCCCAGGCATCCCCTGCCCCATGGGGGGCCTGGGCTCCCAAGGCCTGCCCAGCACTCAGCCTCCTGCTGATGGGGGAGGGGAAGGGAGGCTCGTACTATGTGTGTGGGGGGGGCTTTTGGGAGTAGGACTGAGACCTTGCAAACTTGGCTCACATACAGAGCTGCTGAAC